GCAGTCGACTATGTGGGAGTCCAGCAATGTAACCATTATGCCATCTGCTAGTCCCTGCGGTAAAATGTTAAAACTGGTGGCTCTGTGGAACTGGTATGTGGGAGTTTTCTGTATTATTCTTGAACCTTTTCAAATTTGAAATAATTTCAAAATAAAAATTACAAAATTATCCTGGGCAACACAGGTAGAGAAACAGAGTGGGGGGACCCGGAAGATGGGAGATGAGTCCCGAGGGCATTGTAGTAACACACAAAAAGCTGGAATCCGGACTGACTGCTGCGACCCTACTACTGAGTGGGGAGCAGACAGCTGCACAGGCGCCAGGTAACACGCCTACACGTCCTTGCAGAAGTCTGCGCATCGGTGACACCAACCTGAATAGGAGAGTCCAGCGATCTCTACAAACAGGTCTTCTTCGGAGAAGCTTTCAGAGAGCATGAGGAAGGCTGCTGTCACAGCGCTCCTCAGATTTTTATCGAGGGCTGATCTAAGAGTGACGTTCTCATTCATTGCCACAATTTTCACCTGAAAGAAAGTAGAACATTCAGAAGAAAAACTCAAGAAGTGGAATATTGCTCAAGTCTTGGGCTTATGCATGGAACCACCCCCAACCCCTGCCACTGTATATCTTGGAGTGTTGGTTCTGTTGACACAAGATAATTATTATCCTAATAAGCTATCCCAAGATCTACAGTTTTTTGCCAAAGTCATAGAAATTATGACACAGGAAAGGATCAAAATGCCAAAGAAAACAAAATGAATATTTCTCCTAAATGAGGAAAGTCACCATTGGGTTTTAAAAACAATAAATGTCTTTGGGAACATCAAAAGTTTTAAATTTTATCATCTTGTTTTTCGCTTCATTTTCTAGAGGATGAAGGCATTTTCTATCTTTATTCTTGCCTCTGTTCTTGCCCATATAACATGGGAAGTTCATGCTCTAGTTCATGATTTCTAGACATACTGATTTTAGACTTAAAGGGAAAGGGAAATAAAAACGAGCTTCAGCAGAAAAAGCACAGGCTTTGGAGACAGGCCTGCACCTAAGTCTAGGTGCTTTTCATCTGTGTCAGTCTGGGCAAGTCACTTAACTTCTTAGAACTCAAGGTTTCATCTATAAAATAAGGATAATATTAGGTTGTCAAGAAAGTCAGGACATATTTTCTATGCAAAAATGCATCATGGCTTTCCTGATGACCCAAAAGATTTGCATCAGTGAACTGTCACAGGGCCAAACCAGTAGCCTAGTGGTTAAGGGAGCTGGACCCCACATGGCTAATCATGGTTCAAATCCCAGTACTGGACACTTGAAAAACACATCAGGAACATGTGCTTAGTGTCCCAAATCCTAACAAAATGGAGAAAGAGAGAAGAAGGAATTGCAGTGACATGCTCCATGGGGGAGGGGACTTTCTCCCTCTCCCACTTTTTCTCTTTCAGGTGAGGGCACACACACTAACAATTAAAAAGAGAAATTATCAGGACCAGCAGGTGGTGTGGTGGTTAAGGTGCTGGACACTCCCACATGGCCAACCACGGTTCAAGTCCCGGACCTAGCAGCTTGCTTTCTCACTTTCCCTCTCTGTCTTTCTTTCTCTTACTCTGTCTCTCTCTGGTCAAATTGAAATAAATAAATAAGTAAATAAATAAAGTAAAATAATTCTTTTAAAATAATAATAATAATCAACACAATAATAAAAGTAAGGTGCCTGGTGTACCTGTGAACATCTTGATCAATAAAAAGGACTTTCCCCTCAGTACACAGCAGAAGCTGCTGCCTGTGACCCTCCCCAAATCCACAAAGACACGGATGGCACCAGTCCTCAGGGTCTTGGTTTTCCAGATCTTAACAC